TCGAGGCTGTGGTGGCCGGGAGCGGCCACTGCACACCAGTCTGGGTGACAGAGTGAGACTTCAACTCAAAAATATATATATATATATTTATTGTAGAGACAAGGTCTTGCCAAGTTGCCCAGGCTAGTCTTGAACCTGCAGGCTCAGACAATCTACTCACCTTGGTCTCCCCAAGTGCTGGGATTACAGGCTAAGCCACTGAGCATGGCCATGAAATTTTCAATTGCATTTTTGGGAAATAAAACCAAGACTTTGAAAAAGAGCTGGGGCTGGAACCTAGGGGACTAACTCCAGATACCATGCTGTTAACCTTACTACTGTATTATGGTGGCTGTGTAAAGTCTATCCCAGAACAAAGTGGGACAACAAGCAAATTTTGAATACAAATATTTAAAAGGGCTTATGAATAAAAGGTATTAGTCAAATATAGCTATTATGTCATTATTTCATTCACTTACTCAGCATTTATTGAGTATATAATATACTCTTGGCATGATATAGAATGAAAACCAGAAAACAGGGATTAGGAAAAGGAAAGGGAAAAATGAATTCTACCAATATACCAAGTTAAGAACTGTGTTATAACCCAGTAATTTCACTCCTAGGTATATAACCAAGAGAAATGAAAACATACATCCATGTAAAAACCTGTACATAAATGTTCAAAGCAGCATTATTCTTAAGAGCCCCAAAGTAGAAACAATCTAAATGTTACTCAACTGGCGAATGGATAAACACACCGTGGCACCTCCACAAAAAGGAACATTATTTAGCAAAACAAGTGCCTTGAAAACATTACATTGAGTGAAAGAAGTCAGTCACAAAAGACCACATGGATTGTATGAAATGTCCAGATCAGGCAAATGCATAGAGACAGACAGGAGATTAGTAGTTGCCTAGGCTTGGAGAGCTGGCACAAAATAAGGAGAGGCTGATAATGGGTACTAGGTTTCTTTTAGGCTAATGAAATATTCTGAAACTGACTGAGTGTTAGTTGCACAACCATACAAATATACCAAAAAACACTGAATTGTATTTTTAAAATGGCTGAGTTGTATGACATGTGCACTACATCTTGATAAAGCTGTCAAAAAATCTAAAACAAACAAATAAAAAGGACTACATCAAGGAGAACAAGGAATAAGAAAAGGAGGGCGGTAGGCACGTATCCCTGGGCAAGACTGAGCTCCTAATACAGAAGTGGCAGCCTGCTCACTTTCTTCTATTATTATTATTATTTTTTTTTTTGAGTTGGAGTCTCACTCTGTCACCCAGGCTGGAGTGCAGTGGCATGCTCACAGCCACCACAGCCTCAACCTACTGGGTTCCAAGTACTAGAACCACAGGCATGTGCCACGACATCCGGCCAATTTTTTTATTTATTGTAGAGACAAGGTCTAGCTAGCCATGTTGCCTGGGCTGGTCTTGAACCTGTGGGCTCAGGCAATCTTCTCGCCTCTGCCTCCCAAAGTGCTGGGATTACAGGCATGAGCCATTGCTCCTGGCTGGCCTGCTCACTTTCACCTCCCCAAACCTACTACTTCAGAAATATGCAAACACCTGTTGAGTAAATAGAGAATATAACATAAAGGTACAGTCCCAACTCTACAAGGTGTACAACCTAAGGAAAGTCCAGGGTCTAAAAATGCAGAGAAGAGGCGTAAGTTCACTGTGGATGCCCACAGTAACTCAGAACTGGTTTTCACAGTCAGGACCTGTCAACATGGAGCACATTTCCAGTTTTCAAAGTACACTGGCAATAATTTTTTTAAATTCTATGCAAGAATGTCATATAAAAAAAAGTAGACTGAACACAGGATATGTTTTTCTGCCCACCTGTACTGAGAACATTACTGACAGCTGGTGTTGAGCTAATAGAAAGTCCAGAGAGATTCTGTTCAATCCCTGTACTTCCTGGTGGTGACAAAGATGGGGGATTAACTGAGGAAAGCTGGACCTTCAAAAAAAAAGAAAAAAAAAAGAAAATGACTTGTATTTATATAAAAGAAAACATGCACACTGGCTCTCACCTGCCCTATAGATACATATTGGATCATATGATAGCTTTCAAAAGTTTTTCTGGCACTTATGCCTATGTACAGGGAAGCATGCACTACAAACATCTCTCCATTCTGTCCCTTCCAGTCTTTGGACACATAGCTTCTAGCTCCAGTTGCACACACTGTTCTAGCCACTTCCACATGAAGAGAGCCTCTACTCTCTCCTCTTTCTTTACTCAGAGATCATTTTATTCAACCCTAAAATAGCACTGCTTTCCTGTTCTCTCTAAATTCTTGGCCATTTTTTTTTTTTAACTTTCATCACTCAGGAAATAAATCAGCTAGAAGTCTGAAAACATGATAGATTTCTTAGCTATTTCTCAAGATTTTCCTCATGAATCCATTTACTCTTTTCTCAATGCACAAATGTGGCAGTCAGATTTCCACTTTTCAGGAGTTGATCTGGACTCTACTGATGGGTGGTTTCATCTCTGAATAATCCAACTTCTGCAGCGCCAGTGCCTTGTGGAATATTCCGAGAAAACCTGTGTTGTGACCCTTCCCCTACCAGCTGTTTCACCCTCTGGTGTCCTCAGACCTGCAGAGGCACATCTGGGAGAGAAAGCCCTGACTAGGGGGCAGCAGATATAATGGTTGGAGTCTGAACATATAACTATACTGGCTCTGGCCTGAGCCAATGATGGGGGTGGGGAGTGAGCTGAAGAAAAACTTCCAGTAGCTGCCCTTCACTTCCTCTAGAATCAGGGATGGCCAAATTGTGCACATGAAGTGACAGTGCCAGCAGCCCTGTCTTTACAAAACTAGCACTTTTTTTTTGGGTGTTTGGTTTTTATTTAGTTGTGCGGACAAAAGTTGACTGTCACACAATGGCTTCATAAGAAACATTCACAAGCTCTATGAGCCTGCTCAGAGCTCTGACTCCCTAAGAAGCCTCACCTTGATCCTGCAAGAGTTCTCTCACTCCCCACCCCCCATCACCCTCACATACCTAGCCTTCCTTGCTTTCTCAGTCAAATTTCTTGAAGTAGTAAGCCCTAGCTGGCATCACCTGATCACTCACCATTAATTCTGGAGCCCCTGTGATTTGGTATTTGCAGCCTGAAATTTTTCTTGCTCGGGACATGTGTTTTTACTTCTTTCCCCTGACGTCTCTGCAGCACCTGACATGGCTGATTATGCCCTTTTTCTTGAAGTTTTGTTTTCCTTTTGGATTCCCCTAAGCCTCCTTTGCTGGATCTCCTTTCTCTGCCTGTCTAGATTTGCAAGATTCGGACCTCAGTCCTCTGTCCCACCCAGACCCAATTCTTCAACAGTTTTTATAACACCTACAGGGTTAAGTTACCCTCTCTTTGCTGATGACCTCCAAGTCTGCATCTCTAGTCCTGTCCTCTTTCCTAAAATCCAGACTCACGTATCTAACCTCCATCCAGGTATCTTACAGAAACCTCAAATTCCACACTATCAACAATTTACTCATCATTTGCCCTATATCAATTAGTGTTTTCGCTGTATACATCAATACACTTGATTTGTTTTGGTGAAAACTTTGATATATTCAGGCAGTGTTATCTTACCTCTGTAAACCCATCTTTAAGAGGTGTAATAGGTGTGCCAGTCATTTGTCCTGGAAGAGAAATTTTCTTTCCTTCTTCAAATGGGCGTGTAGGTATTCGATGCAAATAACCATATCCAATGCCACATCCTAGGCTATAAAAACATTTTTTTAAGTTGTTATCAATCACAGTTTGTATTTCAGTGAGATTTTTTTTTTTGGTGCAACCTGGGAACATAGATTCAAGGTGCCTTGAATATATACTCCCTTCTTGGAGGTGTTGAAACATAAAAACAAACAAATTTCCATTCTTTTAAATAATGCCATCTTATCAGAGGTCTCCCTGACCACCTGAAACAGCACACAGCATTCTGCCCCCCACCACGAACACTACCTTTACTCCTTTACTTTCCTTCAAGTATTTACTACCATCCAACACATTGCATATTTATTTATTATCTATCTCCCTCAATAAAATGCAAAGGTCCTTAAGGGCAGAGACCGTGTGTATTTACTACCATCTTAACAGTTCCTGACACGTGGTGGACACGTGATAATTATAAGCTGATTGAATGACATACACACAGCCTTTCCACTGAAGAGTCTAAGCACTGTGTGATGACATCATTTACATCCCATGGTTCTCTTTCAGAAACTGATACAAACCAGTGTGTATGTTCAATCCAGATTCCTTCTATTTTATTCTCCTACTGCCACCGGAGGCATTGTTCTAGTAAGATGTGATCATAATCGCTTTTTTCTACATCCTGATGGTCTCCCAAAATTCCTTTCTCTGTCCTCCCTTTGGGGAATTACTTCTCTGCTGTTGTGTGGAGTGTTGGGACTGTGAATCAGGTTGTCTGCCCTGCCCAAACCAAGGGACCAGCTCATGGCCAAAGCCAGGCCAATCAATCTCTCTTGCCTAGGGCTACAAATTTTGGGAATGATAAAAAATATATAAAATGGCTTTATCTTTTCAATAGAATGAATGCTGATATAATTGTCAAATAGTTTTCCTATCTAAATCCCTAGAGGTTTTCTGAGTTTTGCCCTTCCCACATCCAGTCAATTAGCTGTTTCTTTGATTATATGCGCTAATCCATATCAATAAGTATGCATGCGTTTATGACAGAGACAGCTGGCTTTTACCATTTGGAACCCAAAACCCCTACTGATACAACATCACAGTCCCACTGCTCATAGCCAATGCAATTTCCTGACCATGGTATTTAAGGCTCTCCACAATCAGGTTCCTACTTACGTTTCCATCATGATGTCTTTTATTTCCCAAACTGCTTGACACTTTCAGAGTAGGCCGTGCATGAACAACTCTGTGCCTTTCCTCTGCTACAGCATTTATTATCTCCATGGGTACTATCGCTACCAAACAGTGGTCAACTTCAGCTCCTCCATAACCAATGCTGATTTGCACAATGATGTGTCATCTTACAAAATTACCTGTTCCTTCACCCTCTCCATCAAAATTGCAATTCTCACTGGACTGGATCCCAGATAGGCTTAGAGAAATACATCCATACTGATCAATGATGGCCTTTCAGAGAAGTTGCCTTTTTAAAACAAGATGCTTACTAATCAAAGTAACTAAGCAGTGGTAGAGAAGCCAAGACCTGCTGCAAACTGAAAGATAGCCTAGGAATGAAGTTAAGAGAAATATGGGCCAGGCACAGTGGCTCATGCCTGTAATCCAGCACATTGGGAGGTGGAAGTGAGAAAACTGTCTGAGTCCAGGGGTTCGAGACCAGCCTGGGCAACTTGGTGAGGCTTCTTCTCTACAATAAATCATAAAATTAGCCAGGTGTGGTGGCGCACACATGTGGTTCCAGCTATTGGAAGACTGAGGTAGAAGGATCGCCTGAACCCAGCAGGTCAAGGTTACAGTGGCCATAAGCATGTCACTGCACTTTAGCCTGGGTGAGAGAGTAAGACTCCTATCAAAAAAAAAAAAGAAAAGAAATAAGATGTAATGAATGAAATGTGGTCAGCCTCTGAGCTCTGAGGAAGGAATAATAAAAAGAGGCACAGAAAGGACAAATGCATGGTCAGTGGCAGACTCAGAAAAATAGTCTGGGCCTGTCTAAAGCAGTGGCCAATCAATTAAACCACATCAAAGGGAAAATGACTTCCAAACAAAAGGAATAAATGCCATGAATCTACATAAGAAGGGCTCCAAGAACAAGAATGTAACAGTAGTCAATATAATTACAAAGTGAAAGAAAAAGTGATGTTTTTTGCTGTTGGACTTCATCGTTCACAAAACCTTTGATTCCATGCTTTCCAGGCATTCTTGGGGTACTAACCTGACCTGAGTAATTTCCCCTTCTCCAGTTAGAGAACTAAAGATTTGCTATTCAAATGAATACAGCAGCTTCTTTGCAAGTTTTGTTTATATGATGCAGTCCCTCTGAAATGAATATATTTTGAATGCTTTCAGATCATATTTCTGGGTATTTATGAACTTGGACAACGAACAATGATAATTCGATCAAGTACTGCCCCAGATAGGCCAGATTCTTAGATGATACCTCTGTCTTACCTTTTTCAATACGTTTTTTGCTTTCTTGGTGTTGTTACTTTATTTTTTGAGTCAGAGTCTCACTCTGTGGCCCAGGCTGGAGTGTAGTGCAATCTCAGCCTGCTGGGCTCAGGCGATCCTTCTGCCTTAGCCCTCCAAGTAGCTGGAACCACAGGTGTGCACCATCATGCCCAGCTAATTTTTGATTTATTGCAGAGATGAGGTCTTACCAAGTTGCCCAGGCTGGTCTCGAACCTGTGGGCTCAGGCAATTCTCTCACCTTGGCCTCCCAAAGTGCTGGAATTACAGGCGTGAGTTGGCCTGCAACAAGTTATTATTCTTGTGGTAAGACACATTCAGCTGAAGAATTTCAGGTGCCATGAGTAAAGACACTGTGAGCAATTGGAGGCTTTTCCTGTCTACAACAACTCAGCCATCCTTTTTCCAGCACGGACTGGAACTTTTACAAAACATTTGGCAAGTTTCCAAATCCTAGGCTTTTCTTTAATTATGGCTTTTGTTCAATAATTCCTCAAATAAATGTTAGTAGCTTTTAGATCAGTAAAGAAAAGGACTATAGTATATAGTCCATGTTTCCTAGATATGTGCTTTAAAAAAAATGAATGACTGGTTTCAAATGTTCTAGGTTTGCTCTCTGCTTTTTTAAGAGGAGTCTTGTAACAAATCAATAACTTATTTCAAAATAAAAGCAATAAATGTCTATAAATTATCTGTCATATCTGTTTAAGAGTCATAACTTAGTCTAAAAAATGACCTTACCTGCCTTCCCCACCCCATGCAGAATTTGGTGTAATAATCACTTCTCGGCAGTTATCAGTGTCTGTGTTGTACACATAAAGTTTCAGTGGCTTTGCTTCATGTGTTTCAATAAGGCTGAATAGATCTTCAGACTGCAAAAGCATCACAGAAGGAAAATGATTTTATGTTACTATGCTTCAGAACAGTAGGTCTCAAACATACTATCAGAATCACCTGGAAAACTTTATTTTTAAAAAACAACTTTCCATTTGACTCAGCAATTCAATTCCCCTTCTGGGAATACACCCGGAGAAACTCAAATCTTTCTACAAAAAAATACCTGCACACACATTTACTGCAGCACTATTCACAACAGCAAAAACATAGAACCAAACATGTTGCCCATCAAAAGTGGACTGGATAAAAAAATGTGGTACAAGCTGGGCACAGTGGCTCAAGTCTGTAATCCCAACACTTTGGGGGGTGGAGGTGAGAGAGTTGCCTGAGCTCAGGGATTTGAAACCAGCCTGAGCCACATGGCAAGACCTTGTCTCTATAATAAATAAAAAAAATTAGCCAGGTGGGGTGGCGCACGCCTGTAGTTCCAGCTACTTGGAAGGCTGAGGTGGAAGGTTTGTAGCCCAGCAGGTCGAGGCTACGGTAGCTGTGAGTGTGCCACTGCAATCCAGTCAGGGTGACACAGTGAGACCCCAACTCAAAAAAAAAGAAAAAAAGGCTGGGCTTGGTGGCTCAGTCTATAATCACCACTTTGGGAGGCCGAGGTGAGTGGATTGCCTAAGTCTGCGGGTTTGAGACCAGCCTGGGCAACTTGGCGAGACCTCATCTCTACAATAAATAAAAAATTAGCCGGGTGTGGTAGTGCACGCCTGTAGTTTTGGCTACTTGGAAGGCTAAGGTGGAAGGATTCCCGGAGCCCAGCAGGTTGATGCTGAGGTAGCCGTGAGTGTGCCACTGCACTCTAACCTGGGCAATGAAGTAAGACTTCAATTAAAAAAAAAAAAAGACCTGGTTATCTGGGCACCTTATATTTATCTCATTTTTGTATGTATATTGTATGTATGTAATATGTATTTCCACTAACAGACAAGGAAAAGGATCTGACTAATATGGCTGAGCTAATTTTGTCACCTGAGCAAAAAGGGGAAGAGAAAATGAAGTCAATGAACAGTTGAGAATGAGAATTTGATTTAGTCTTAGGTATGTAAAATATTTTTGTGTATCATACACAAAATCTGTGCAACTGCCACACAGTATGTTTTTCCTCACAGCTAAACCCAGTAAGATACTTCCCAGATATTCCATTTAACACCCTGAAGGATAAGCTATTCTTGGATTAGCAAAGACTGACAAAGTATGCAAAATACCTTTCTGAACTCAAACATCGAGTAAATTTTATATAATTTTCATTATCAATAAACATACTAATTACCTCATTCATGACTGTATCTGCTCCAATGATATAATCACTGTGAGGTCTAAGACCTGCCAGTGCTGCAGGAGAATTTGATTCTACTTCCTAGAATGACACAAAAACATATCTCAATACCAATATACATAAAACAATCTTCCAAGTTTTCTAGTCACAGCTTTTAATTACAGTGATTTAATAAACCTCTATATTTCTGTCTTGTTAGAGATAATGTCCAATGCCAGAATCTATAGAATACAGATATTTAAAACTGCAAAGAGGCCAGGCTCGGTGGCTCAGTCTGTAATCCCAGCACTTTGGGAGGCCAAAGTGAGTGGATTGCCTAAGTCCATGGATTCAAGACCAGCCCGAGCAACTTGGCAAGACCTCGTCTCTACAATAAATAAAAATTAGCCAGGTGTGATAGCGCGCGCTTGTAGTTCCAGCTACTTGGAAGACTGAGACAGAAGGATTGCTAGAGCCCAGCAGGTCGGCCCAGCAGGTGGACACTGGGGTGGCCATGAGTGTGCCACTGCACTCCAGCCTGGGCGCCAGAGTGAGACTCCAACTCAAAAAAACCCCAAAAAAACACACAAATAAAACTCCAAAGCATATAAATTATATAATGTTTAATAAATATTTAAAACATTTCTGTAGCTATCTACTTCAGTGTGTCCTCTAATGCATAAACCATTAGAAACACAGTTCTTAAGCTGCTATATTTGCTTCTACTTCTCAAGTTTTGTCTTTAATTGATCCATTTTCAAAAAGCAACGAATACTGATTTTTAGAAACTAAAGACAGCCTAAGAATGCCTTTACAATTAAAATACCCTTCTACATTGCTTCTTGTTCCGCACACATAGCTATTCACAGCTCATACCTACCAACACATGCCAAACATTTTCATTTGCTCCATCAAAGCTGCAGAAACGAATGCTCACTCCCAACAAGCCCTGGCCACCCCACAGGTTACTTGGGGTGACTGAGGTCTCTCGCAGCTCCAGTGTTTTGCTGCTATAGATAAGCATTTTTACTGGCTTTTCAACATTTGCTTTCAGTAGATCTTTAAGAGTGTCATTGTCTTTGTTCTGTAAACATATAGAAATCACATTTCTTAATAAATTCAGTGTTATCTTAAGCATCCTATGGGTCTATAATAGTAGTAGTAATAAACAACATAAGTAAAACTTTCAACACAACAGGCAAAGCTTTCACTAACATTTAAATATTCTTCCACATAAAAGAATGTCAAAAAATTAAGAATAATTCTGAGTTTAGCAATAATTCTTCCATGCCTTTTTTCTAATAGCTGACTATGGATTATGGGATTTGCAATCCACAATTATTTAGAGTGACACAGGGCATCAATGATTAAAAACAAAATATGAGCCAGGCTCAGTGGCTCAGCCTGTAATCCCGCGCTCTGGGAGGCTGAGGTGAGTGGATTGCCTGAGCCCACGGGTTCGAGACCTGCCTGGGCAACTTGGCGAGACCTCATCTCTACAATAAATCAAAAAATTAGCCGGGCATGGTAGTGCACGCCCGTAGTCCCAGCTACTTGGAAGGCTGAGGATCTCCGGAGCCCAGCAGGTTGAGGCTGTGGTCGCCAGGAGCATGCCACTGCACTCCAGTCTGGGCAACAGAGTGAGACTCCAACTCAAAAAAAACCCCCAAAAAACACAAAAATATGTGTCCGGGTGTGGTAGCTAACACTTGTAATCCCAGCACTTGGGGAGGCTGAGCTGGAAGGATTGCTTGAGACCAGGGGTTCCACCAGGGCAACATGGTGAGATCTCGTCTCTATAAAAAATTAGCCAAGTGGTGGGTGCCTGTATTCTCAACTACTTGGAAGGCTGAGGCAGAAGGATTGCTTGAGCTCAGGAGTTCAAAGTGACAGTGAGCTATGATTGCGCCACTGCACTTCAGCCTGGGCAACAGAATGAGACCTCTGTTACTTTAAAAAAAAAAAGTCATAAGAAGTTACATTATTAGCAAAGTTGCAATGACTTTGATTTTAAAATCTAAAATATTTGTACTTTATTATTTATTAGGAGCTAGAAAGAAAAAAACGGCAACAGAATGCTAAATATTTTAGTATATAAATGAATAAAGGCCATTATGTCAGAAATGCTAATAATGAGCAAAAACTTAAGATTATAAAAAAATAAACCACCAAATAGCTACTGTCATAAGTATTTTCTTTGCTAAGACTATATAATTTCCTTCATACAGGGCTTTACTATGGGTAAACTGAAAACAACTTATAACAACTTTTAATTCTGCACTTTGTAGCATTTCTTTCTGTCTAGGTCTAATAACATTATTTACATATCATGAAACTTAGCTCCAAGAAAACTGACAAGCTGAGAATGAGTGTTTACTAATCCATTTGTCAACAACCTAGAGAAGTCTCACATCTTTAAAAAGCAATCTTTTACACCTTAATTATTTATTTCTGCTTCTAAAAATGAAATATTTAACATACAAAATAAAAGTTTCCAGTGAGACTCTGCTCCCCTAAGATAATCACTGGAGTGAAAGTATAGTATTCTAGAGTTAGCATTTTAATGTTTACTAACACATGATTATTTATAAACTGGCATCACACTCTATATAAAGTTTGCAAGTAAATAATAAATATCTATCCCAGATAATTGGAAAAATTCCATTTTAAAAAGATTACAGATACTGTAGACAAGACTACAAAAAACTGAACTTACTAATCTTGAACCATTAATAGAAACAATAAAATCAAAGAAAGGCTCTAGTCCAGCTCTGTGTCCTGGGGAATTTTCTTGTACCTGTAAAAACAAAAAGACCAACATTTAAAAATGCAAAGCCTAATTGTAAATTGTAAGCTAAATTTCAACAGCTATCTCTTTTCAGTAAAAATATGTTAATCTCATTGATAATGAAATATAGGTGCAAGATAGCTTTCTCATTTCTCTTCATCTCTCCCAGATAATGACCTTTCACTTCCCTAAACTCCACTCTCACTCTTTTTTTTTTTTTTGAGTCAGAGTCTCACTCTCACCCAGGCTGGAGTGCAGTGGCATGCTCACAGCCACCACGGTCTCAACCTGCTGGGCGCAGGCGATACTTCTGCCTCAGTCTTCCTATAGCTGGAACTACAGGCGCACGCCACCACACCCGGCTAATTTTTTTTTATTTATTGTAGAGATGAGGTCTTGTCAAGTTGCCCAGGCTGGTCTCAAACCCCTGAGCTCAGGCAATCCTCTTGTCTCAGCCTCCCAAAGTGCTGGGATTATAGGTGTGAGCCACCGTGCCAGGCCTGACTCTACCCATTCTTTAAGTTCATCTCCTGTATGAGGTTTTCCCTCTGTGGTTCCCACGCCATTGTTTCCTTTTTGTGAGGGAAGGAGCTAATCCTCCCAGAAATTAGCTTATGACACAGCAGATAGGTAATCATTGCAACTAAAAGACAAACTCAAGTACTTATTCTTTGACTACTATTAGCAAGGGAACATTCAGTTATAAAGCTAATATAGGAACACAGTCGCTGACGTCAGACAATCCTCTCACCTTGGCCTCCCAAAGTGCTGGGATTATAGGTGTGAGCCACTGCACCCAGCCAATATTACCTTTTATTTAAGCCAAATTATACTATCATTGTCTCTGAAAAAGTAAAACTAGATAGTCATCTTCTGTCACAGTAAAAAATAATTGTCCATTATAAAGATGATTCAATGTTTAACTTGCTAAAACTGTTTGATCTTATTTTATGTAAGTTTCCCCACAAATTTTGGACTTAATCAGTTTTGTAAATTAAATAAGTTAAATATCAAAGAGATGTACTGTTTAAAGGTGTTCACTCTAATAAAAATAATCAGTACATATTTAGTTTAGTTTCTTTCTTTCTTACTTATTTATTTAATTTTTTAGTTGGAGTCTCACTCTGTCGCCTAGGCTGGAGTGCAGTGGCATACTCACAGTCACTCCAGCGTCGACCTGCTGGACTCCAGCGATTCCTCTGCCTCAGCCTTCCAAGTAACCGAAACTATAGGCATGCACTACCATGGCTGGCTCATTTTTTATTTATTGTAGAGATGTGGTCTTGCCAAGTTGCCCAGGCTGGTCTTGAACCTGTGGGCTCAGGCAATCCACTTGCCTCGGCCTCCCAAAAAGATTCTGACCTCTTTTTTAAAAAAAAAAAAAAAAAGACTATCACCCAGGCTGGAGCACAGTAGCACAATCACAACTCATTGCAGTCTGGAACTCCTGGCTCAAACTATCCTCCCACCTCAGTCTCCCAAGTAGCTAGGTCTACAGGTGCATTCCAACAGGTGATTGGTTAATTTTAAAAATTATTTTTGGTAGAGACGGGGGTCTTGCTATGTTGCCCAGGCTGGTCTTGAACTCCTAGCCTCAAGCAGTCCTCTCACTCCCCACAGTGCTGGGATTATTAGTGTCAATCATTGTGCCTGGCTGTTTCTTAATGGAGGTTATTTCATATTTTATATATTAGCAAATAAAATGTCTAGTACCCAAAACAGAGATAGATTCCTCCTCAAATGACAACTCTGAAAGGTAAGTAGTGGCTGCCTAGAGTTACTATAAGAAAAGTGAAGTCAAGTCACAGCTAGCTGGGAAAACAGATCCAGTAGGTGTGAAATGTCTGCAGGTGGTCATCAATCTAATATGAAATGTCTCAGGTGTGAAAAGGGGATAAACAGCACAGATCCTGAGGAGCTTTCTCAGGATAGAGTTTCTCATTGAGTAGGATCTACATCTAATCATCTAATTCTCTGAATTGAATGTTTCCAAATGACCACTAATAGCATTTTATCTAGAACCCAAGTAGTTCATTGATCAATTTCAGACTTCTCCATTAACACTGCCAAAAGTTTACCTTTGAGTTAAAAAGGCTAAAGATGGCACTTTTGTAATATAATCATTTACTTTGAAAGTTGACCCTACATGCCGATTTCTTATCATGCCACCCTCTGAGTATAAAGTTTAAACTACTTGTTTGAAATGGAAAATTTCCAACATCATCAGAAGTATTCTTCCTATAACTCAAAAAGGACTCAACAGCTAAGTTTAAATTCTAAAATAAACTCAATCCTTTCCCTATTTTTCCATTTCATTTGCTACAAACATCGATTTCCTCTCTGTTTCTAATGAACCTTGAAATTAATTTCTTCCTCAAATTTATTTATGTCATTAGTATCAGCACAATTTTGGCAAGTAGGTATTTTTATTATTGCGAGAAAGTCAGCAGAGGGGACCCTAGAAAATACTCTCTTTAACCCCAAAACACTTAAAGGAAATTTCCTAGCATGAACAATAAGATCTACAACACAGCAAACTAAACATCCATACAGTCAAGTTTCTCTTGGAATATTATCCATTGACAAGAATCTTTCAGGAACCTAATCTCTTTAAGCACCAGATTACCACTTCAATACGTTCTGTCCCTGATGAGATCTCTTGATTGTTCATTTATCTTCTGCTTCCTTCAAACCATCTTAATTTAAAAGTCTATATATACTTGGTTCCATAGGCCATTTAACATTTATTACTGGGTCAGCTACTATAACACTTTAAGATGAATAGGGCAGATCTGTTAGTTTAATAATTAAGACTTTACAAGATTTTTTTAAAATGCTCAGTAAAAAAAAAATGGAGTTTTAGAGTCAGACCAAGCTGGTTTTAAGCCATCGTTTTACCCATTTATTAGTTGTGTAAGCTTGGTAAATTTTATTTACCACTCTGGGCTTCAGTATTCTCATTTTCAAGAGATAATGTCACCTACTTTACAATATTGTAAGAATTCAATGAGTCAAGTTTATGAAATGCCTACCTAAGTCTCAAGCCTATGATAGAAACTCTAAACTCTATAAATTTTAAGCTTATCCTCCTGTTATCACCATCTGAGGGTAAATCTTCATAACCAACCAATTCCTGAACATTACACTATTTTTCCAAATTTGGTAAACATCTCTTACCCTTTAAAAAGAAAAGGACTTGTAAAAGTACTAGTCAGCTGGAAAAAGAAGACACACAGGTTTTTTAAAATGCTGCCTCTCCAGTAAAATGCCAGGGTGGGGGGCACACCTCATCAATAAGGGTACCTGCATAATGAACATTTGTATACTTAACCCTGAATTGTACCCCACATATTAAAAATAAAAAAAATTTTTTAAATTCTGCCTCTTGAAAATCAATTCCAGATGGATAGTAGATCTAAAGGTCAAGGGTAAAACAACAAAGCCTGCAGACAAAAACCACAGAATAATATCTTTGAGACCTTCAAGTATGCAAAGACTTCCTTAATCAGACCTAAAAAACACCAATCACCAACCAAAAAAACCCTGATAAAATGAACTATACCGTACTAAAACTAAGAACTTCTGCTCATCAACAGGTATAATTAAGAGTGAAAAGAGGCGCATTGGCTCACGCTTGTAATCCCAGCAGTTTGGGAGGTGAAGGTGAGGATTGTCTGTGCCCAGGGATTCAAGACCACCCTGGGCAACTTGGTGAAACCTGATCTCTACAATAAATTTTAAAAAATTGCCAGGCATGGTGGCGCACACCTGTGGTTCCAGCTACTTGGAAGGTTGAGGCAGAAGAATCACCTGAGCCCAGTGAGTTGAGGCTGCGGTGGGCAGTGTGCCACTGTAGTCCAGCCTGGGCAACAGAGCGAAATTCCAACTAAAAAAAAGAGTGAAAAGATATAATACATATCCAACAAAAGATCTGTAACCAGAACAAATCTTGAACTACTGCAACTCATTAAGAAAAGACAGACAAGCCGGGCTCGGTGGCTCAGCCTGTAATCCCGCGCCTTTGGGAGGCTGAAGTAAGTGGACTGCCTGAGCCCGCGGCTGGGCAGCGAGACCTCGTCTCTACAATAAATCAAAAAAATCAGCCGGGCGTGGTAGCGTGCGCCTGTAATTCCAGCTACTCGAAAGGCTGAGGCGGAAGGATCGCCAGAGCCCAGCAGGTCGAGGCTGTAGTGGCCGGAAGCGGCCACTGCACTCCAGTCTGGGCGACAGAGTGAGATTCCAACTCAAAAAAAAAAAAAGAAAAGACAGACAATAAAATCACAATGAGACATCACTTCTTGTCCACCAGAATGACCACAATTAAAGACAATAACAAGCACTGGAAAGGATGTGGAGAAATTGGTACACTTGTACATTGCTTGTGGAAATGTAAAATGACGTAGCCTTTGTGGAAAACAGTTTGGCAGATCCTCAAAATTTAAACACAAAGCTATCATATGACCCAGAAATTCCACTTCTAGGTATACAATCCAGCAAAATGAAAATGTATGCCCATGCAAAAACTTGTTCACAAATGTCATAGCAGCATTATTCATAATAACCAAAAGCAGAAATAGTCCAAATGTCCTCAGCTGAGGAATAAACAAAATGTGGTATATCCATAAAAAGGAATGAAGTACTGAAAACGTGCCACAACATGGAAGAACCTTGAAAACATTATACAAAGTCAAAGAAGTAAGTCACAAAAGACTACTTGCTGTTTGATTCCATTTATAGGAAATGTCCAGAATAGACAAATCCATAGAGACTGACAGTAGATGAGTGGCTGTAAGGGGTAGTAGGTAGAGGAATGTGAAAGTTTCTTTTTGGAGTAATAAAAAGATTCTGGAATGAGATAGCAGTGATGATTGCACAACTCTATAAATACACTAGAAAACCACCAAATTATATTCCTTAAAAGTTTGAAATTTCTGGTAAGCAATTATATTTCAATAAAGTTGCTTAAAATAAAAAAGGAGACAACCAAATAGAGAAATGGTGAAAAAATT